AATACTTTTATAAGCAAGAGTAGGCATTGAGATGGCCTAGCATTTAGAGCAATAATTTTCCCACTATCTTTTTCAATGGCACATGATTTGGGCTCTTCCTAATAATTCAAACTTCAATAAGAAATATCCAATTTCTACACCAACAAATAAATAAAACTGTTTAATTGAGCCAAGAGCTATGCCTAATGCTAGACCCAAATATATTAGTGTTACATGACAACACTGACTGTATTGCAGTAACTGTTGGTTGTTAAATATAAACAAAATAGAATGGAAAGAACTTGTAAGTTTTATAATATAATTGTGGTGAACCTGAGTGAGTCCTATAGTACGAGACCACTGCGATCTGCCTATCTGTACGTGTGCATCGCTCCTCGAAGATAATACTTAGTACAGTACAACTGGTCAGTATAGACATGTGCGTATGATAAAGAAATAAAAGATTAATTGGATTATTGCAACTCTACTTGTACCAAGGCATAGGACTAAATTTAAGACCCTGATAAAGAAGGCTGTTTATGGAGGCAAATGAATGCAAACCTCAGAAGGCAAGGAACACTTTTAAAATAGAGTTTATGAAGCCAATTCTGACAATCATTCATAATCAATATGACATTAAATTTTTTACTTATTTCCAGCACTAAGAGCATACCAAAAATTGCCAGTTGTATCAAAACCTATTGAAGTCTTAAGCTACATGTGAGTGATAGCTGTCATCTTCATTTCAATGCCACTTATATTCTGTAAAGGTGGCGAATTTTAGCTACTATGAGTCTAATAGCTGCTAATTGGTTTGCCAATTAGATATGAGACACAGTTGATCCCATGCAGTGATGCATAACCAGGAGACCATAATATTTTAGGTATTAAAGTCTACTTTTAACAGTTTTTTCTATTTCTGAAAACAATGTTGACTGGATTGAGACACAAAATGATTGCTCTAGCTATGTCTTTTTGTTATTTTTGTATCAGTAAGGCTAAAATAACTGTCACATGATTTTGATAGGAACTATAGTCACAGATTCCCTGCTGTTGAAATAAAATGGATCCTGTCTCTCCAGAAAGATGGAGGTCATTATCCTCTTCTTCAATTGCAAGTAAAAGGAAGTACAAACCTTTCAACTGCTTCAGTAACTACTGTAAGGAATTAAAGTCTCGTTCATTGAGTTTACCATCAATCCTCCTACTGATTTATGTTATACCAATGGCAATTAGTTACGCATTTTTTGAAATAACTTTTAGAAATTTATCCCGTGACCCTTCCAACCAATGTGGACCTATTGACTCTGGTAGCATTACAGTCTTTTATAATGTTGGAATTATAGTAGGAAATGCTATATTTCTTTTTGCTCCTTTCTGTGGTTGGTTGTCAGATACTAAAATTGGTAGGGATAATGCTGTTTCTATCAGTCTATGGCTTGGTTGGATAGGCACTCTATTATTTGCCATAGGATGCTGTTTGCAATATAATTCATGTGGTACAACTGCTCTGATAGGAAGATATGTATTTTTTAGTATAGCTTTTGTATTCATGTTAGTCTCATTGTCACTCCTATATACTAATATATTACCATATGGTATAGATCAGTTGATGAATGAATCTACTGTCAAGATAAGAGCATTCATTCACTGGTACTGGCTGTGCCTTTATAGTGGCTACATATTTTCAGTTGTATCGGATGAGCTCATTGTTTCAGTTGTGGCTTTTGTTTTCTTTTCTTTTTCTCTTTGTCTTCATTTTCTCTTTAAGCATCGTTTTGAGCACATACCTATTCCTAATCCTTATAAAATTGTATTTAAAGTATTGAAGTTTTCTCTCACAACTAGTGGCACTAGAAGACAGCATCGTAGTGCATTCACATACTGGGGAGAGGAGCCCAGTAGAATGGATCTTGCTAAGGAGAGGTATGGTGGTTGTTTCTCTCATGAAGAAGTGGAAAATGTCAAAACTTTCCTACGTATTGCTGTTGTTTTGGCCACCTTTTTTCCCCTTTATATTTCCATTGTTCCGTTCTTAAATAGTTCTTCAAAGTTTGTTGCTCAGTTTAAAGATGGTTACGAAGGTTTGCAAGGAAATGCTAAAAATGTTGTTTGGATTTTTGGCAAATTTTCTCCATTTTTTCTGATAGTCCCTTTGTTTGAACTGGTTATTTTACCTCTCTTTCCTAAATTGGAATATTTTATAATTAATCCATTAAGAGGACTTGGTTTGGCTAGTGTTATTTTTATTTTATCAATTATTAGCTTTTTTCTCATTGACTTGATTGGAAGACATGTTAGCGATGTGTCTGAAATGCCTTGCTTTTTCATTTGGGAATCAGTTGAGAAAACAATTCAGATTTCCTATTGGATACTACTCATACCATCAGTATTAGCTGGTGTATCATTATTTCTCTCTTATACATGTATGCTTGAGTTTCTGTGTAGCCAGTCTCCTTTTGGTATGCATGGAATGATCATTGGACTGTTCTGGTTTATGCATGGTATATACATTGACATTGGTTCAGGCATTTTATTAATAGTTTATTATCACCCTATACACTCAGTCTCATTTATGTCATGTACCTCTTGGCTCTCTGTAATATTTGGTATAATTGCTGTTATTGGATTAGTGGTGTATGTATTAATAGCTCGATGGTATGTCAATAGGGTCAGGGATACTGATCTTGGTCTACGTGCAGCAGTAGAGGAACACTGGGAAAAGAGACTGATGGCAGGGAATGCCATAAATAACACTAAGAGTACATAATATTATGTACTCTTGATAACACTGATACAAGAGATGTATTTGTTTCAAACTTTTGATAGTTTTTGTTAATTTTTTGTAATTTGTTAGTCTTTTCTAATAATGGGAATGTGAGGATAATTTTCTCATGCACATGCCTAGAATATTTATTCATCAAAAACTCAACAGGATGTAAACCAATATTTAATATAGCAATTTCCATTGTCTCAGTTATTTCTAGCTGGTATTGTGGACACTGCAACTGCATGGTCTTAAGGCCTTTTCACACTGGCAAAAGTGTAATGCACATTAATTGTGTTCACACTAGAGTGGTTTCAAATTGATGTGAAGTGATGCGCTTCAGTCAATGTAAACCAATGGCAACAGAACACAAAATGATACATAATTCAGCTGCTAGTGTGAGCAAGATCAACTGTGCCAGTGTGAAAAGGCCTTTACTTTTACTCATTAGTAAAGCTGTACAGTGAAAATGATCCTTCATCAATATTGTATGATACTTGGAAGGAATGATGTGCTATCAAGCTTAAATATTTCATTGGTCGTTGTTTAATGCATGGTTGTATGATTGCAATTATTAGCCTTATATAAAGTAATGAATAATTATTTGAACATTGAATTTTGAACGATGTTACAACTCCACTTGTACCAAGGCTAGATGACTATAAATTTAAAATCCTGATAAAGAAGACTGTATAGGAAGATAAATGAATGCCAATCCCAGAAGGAAAGTAACACTTTTAAAAACTATCTTTACCAAACCATCCTGAAAAATCCGGCATTCATAAGTAATACAACATTAAATTTTCACTTATTTTCAGCACTAAGAACTTACCAAGGATTGCCAGCTGTATCAAAACCTATTGAGGAAAGTCTTAGGCTGCATGTGAGTGATAGCTTTCATCTTTGTTTCAATGGCACTTATATTCTGTAAAAGTGGCAAAAGGAATTTTAGCTTTTGTGAGTGCTACTTGCTTTGCCGGAAGCATTTTTGAACTTATATAAATGTGATATAAACTGTAGAAAATGATCATTTTTTGTTCTAAAAATGTGGTACTCGCTAATTAATTTAGCCTTATTATCATGTGTATTATATTAGTAAAACAATAAAGAGAAGCCACACTGGTCAGTATAGGAATGTTAATATTATTCATAGTTGCACTATAATAACTGAAATTTAATCACATGACATTAATTGTCATACTCCACTATTACTTTTTCTGTCAATGGCAGCCAAGTTTTCTTCATCTTCTCCTGGTCTCCTCAAACTAGAAGAAGAGCTCACCTGTCCTGTCTGTCTTCAACAATATGCCAACCCTAAGACTTTACCTTGTCTACATTCATTCTGTCAGCTCTGTCTGGAGGGATTACCACTGATAAGAAGAATGAGACCTATTACCTCTCTTGTCCTACTTGTCGTCATTGTACAGAGTTACCAGAAGAAGGTGTAGGAGCCTTCCCTGTAGCATTTACTCTCAACAATTTTAAGGAAACACTTTCTTCAATCAAGAAAACAGCACGTTCGTTTGATCCTCAAAAAGCTGCCTGCAATGATCATGGAAAGTCATTAGAGTTCTTCTGTGAAACATGTGATACAGTAATCTGTTCCCACTTCTCAGTTCTTAATCACAAGCAACACGAGTATGACTTAATCACCGAATTTTTATATACCAAACATTGTCAAGATCTAGGAGGTTCTCTTGAGCCAGTAAAAAGGAAAATTGAAGCACTCAAAAGAATCCTGTCTGCTCTAGCAGAGAGAGAGGGTGAGATCAGAGAGAGAGGAGAAGGAGTCTTAGAAGAAATACATGAAATGGCAGAGGAAATGATGAATGTTCTTCGTCAGTCAGAGAGGACACTGACTGAGCAGGCAAAGAGGGTTATTGACCTTAGGCTAAAGGTGCTGTCAGATCAAATCAAATCAGCAGAAAAGAGTTTGAAATTTTTGGAGAATGTTAAGAATTATGTGGAACAGAGTCTGAAAAAAGATACTCATCAACAAGTCTTGGGGTCTAAGAAACAGATGCTGGAGCGAATGAGTGAAGTTACTGCACAGGTCAATGTGGAGGAGTTGATTCCTAGAGAAAAGTCTGACTTTGCATTTATTAAAAATATTGAATCACTACACAGCATTAGTAATATTGGCAATATCATTTCTGGTGCTGACCTAAACCAGTTCATGGTAAAGAAGACTGGCTATTATAACCATCCACCAGAAGAAAAGAAATTTTCATTTTCATTCTCCATTAAGGCACCAGGTTCATCTCCTTTGTCTGTTCCCCTCTCTTCTCTCAGGTGTAGTCTAGTACCAGTTTGTAATCATGATGAACCCACAGATATAATCACCACCAGCACTGATCCTGGAGTATATAGGATACAGTGTAGCCCTTCAACCAGTGGTACTCATACTTTAAAAGTACAAGTATACAACGTGCAACTTGAGGACACCTCAGTAGCCATCCCTATCAACCCTTACCTTGATAATGTTGCTCCAGTAAATGCAATAAGTAAATTTTATCGACCCTGGGGTGTAGCCGTTAGTGATACTAACCATGTTATAATAACTGAATGGAAAGGTGACTTTGTAGTAATGCTGGATATCGAAAAAATGAAGATCCAGTATTTTAGACAAAGTGGCAATTTGTTTTTCTGTGCTCCACGAGGTGTGGCCATTACTTCAGACAAAACTATATTCTTGTCTGATAATCACAGGATTCACTTGATGAATGAGGTTGGGGAGAATATAGCATTTGTTGATATGAATGGCAGCAAGCAATTGCAGTTCATTAATCCTGCTGGTATAGCCATTTCTCCTGTAACAGGACAGGTTTATATTGCTGATTATGGTAATCATCGTATACAAGTCTTGACTCCTAATCTAACCTTCTCTTTTTTGTTTGGTAGTGAAGGATCAGCTAGTGGACAGTTTCAGTATCCATGTGACATTGCCATTGACAGTCAAGGTTTAGTGTATGTTGCTGATAGTTGTAATCATCGAATTCAAAAGTTTTCTTCAGATGGAAAGTTTGTGGGTCAGTTTGGTGCTAAAGGATCTGGTCCTGGACAGCTTGATACGCCAGTAGGTATAACAATAGACACTGCAGCTACTGGTCTAGTGTATGTTAGTGAATATCGCAATAATCGAATTTCGATCCTCACTAGTGATGGTGTATTTTTAAAATATTTTGGAAGTGAAGGGAGTGATATTCATCAGTTTAAAGGCCCGAAAGGATTAACATTTGACAAAGATGGATTTTTGTATGTTTGTGATGATAACAATCAACGTATTGTTATTTATTAGTTTTAAAAATATTTCCTTTAGTAAAACTATAATAATAAACTACCAGTGTTGAGAAGGAGAGGGAGAAGTAATGTATTATTACAATCAACATAAGGAATTGTTTATAAGTGCTATTGTAAGTATGCCAGTGTGCTAGATATTATGTACATCCACTCAGGCTGTATTGGCAGCATCACCTGCATGAGCACTAATTTGACTGCACCTTCATTATAATTAAGAAATAGTAACCATTTAAAATTCATGGTGTTCCTTCCAATGGTCATTGAGGTAGTCTTGATCATCAGTTTTGCCATTGCCTTCGGTTTTGCTTCAGCCATTTTCATCAAAATTTTTCTCAAAGTATTTTTTAAAGTAACATCAAGGGCTACATGGTTTTTGGCTAAATTTTGAAGGAGCCTCAAAATTTCTAGAAATCTAATTTTTGAATAGAGTCTGCTAGACTTGATACATAACATGACCATTTTATACATTTAATATTTGGATTTTTGATAAAACATCAAAGGCTATCCTGTAATTTTTTCTAATTAACCTTCCTGCTTTTCTGTTATCTTTCTCTCTTTCCCTTCACTCCTAAGATTCAATCAGTTGATGTGAATGAGTTATAGACACCTTTAGCATTACCTGCTCCACATGTACATGTAGTATGTACCTTTTATAGTCAAATAGCCTAAAACTGAAGGTATGTTATACAAGGGAAAGGAAGGAGAATATTTATAGTTAAATGAATTTTTTGTGAAGAGGTATAGGCAATGGTGGGTGGACTAGGTAGAGGCTGGCTATGATCATTTTAAATACGAGCCAACTTTGAAATTAAGGAAAGGCTATTGAAAGGCTTAAATATTTCAAGTTATGGCCATTTTTTAAAATTGACCAATTTCTGAAAAATACCCAAGACTATAGCCCATGTTTTTTTCCAAAAAACAGCTCCGAAATCTTAAATATTTCAAGTTATGGCCATTTTTTTTAAATTGGCCAATTTCTGAAAAATACCCAAGCCCATGTTTTTTTTCCAAAAAACAGCTCCAAAATCATTCCCAATTTTTATTACATTTTCTAACACATTTTGATGTCCTTATGCTATGTAAAAAGTTTGAGATGATTCCGACTTAATTTCTTCAAGTTATGTCCATTTTTTAAATTGGCCAATTTCTGAAAAATACCCAAGGCTATAGCCCATGCTTTTTTCCAAAAAACGGCTCTGAAGTCATCCCCAGTTTTTATTACATTTTCTGATACATATTGATGTCCTTATGCTATGTAAAAAGTTTGAGCTGATTCCGATTTTAATTTTTCAAGTTATGGCCATTTTTTAAAATTGGCCAATTTCTGAAAAATAATCAAGGCTATAGCCCATGCTTTTTTCCAAAAAACGGCTCCGAAATCACCCCCAATTGTTATTACATTTTCTGATACATATTGATGTCCTTATGCTTTGTAAAAAGTTTGAGCCAATTCCGACTTAAATTTTTCAAGTTATGGCCATTTTTTAAAATTGGCCAATTTCAGAAAAATACCCAAGGCTATAGCCCATGCTTTTTTCCAAAAAACGACTCCAAAATCACTCCCAATTTTTATTACATTTTCTGATACATATTGATGTCCTTATGCTTTGTAAAAAGTTTGAGCCGATTCCGACTTAAATTTTTCAAGTTATGGCCATTTTTTTAATGAGCCAATTTCTAAAGAATATACCTACTTTTTTTGTTTTTCTGATATAAATTTTGTGTTTATATGTTGTTTCATCTTTTTTTTATTTTTGTGTTTTAGTATATCTCTGGTAAAACAGTTTATTGATGACACAAATTTGACCTGAAGATTTTGGCTGAATTTTAATGTCAGTCTTACAATGGTAAGGAGTACTCAAGTTTATTAGGTAGTTCATACTTGCATTGTTTTTGTACAAGTAATTTATCAGAAGTAAGCACAATATGTATTGCAAAGTAACAGCATTAATTTTTAACTTTTAGGCTCATGCATACATTTATTTGAGCTGGTACAAGTATTTTACCATCACAATACTACCATTTCTGTTGATTTGAATCTCTTAATTGGTACAGTTGAAAAGAGGTGCACAGATGAAGCTAACTATTAGTTTTGAGCTTTATCTTTATTGCAGTGATCAACGCAATTGAGCAATCTCAGAATATGAGAGCAATGGGGAGGTACAGCTTATTAATAATAGTACATACCTGTAATAATAATAATTATTAATTTACTTTGTAGTGGGTCATCTTAACAAAGGGAATAAATATTTATTTACCAAATCATGGTGACTGTTTAGATTGAAGTCATTTGAGGGAGTGCAGGTTAAATTTGAGTGCCTGAGTCAGCTTAATTGTTTTGAAGGATTATGGCTTCTCCTTTGTGTTCTTGTCACTGTCCTAAGGCTTTCAAAGAGATTTCAAGAGAAAAATTAATGCATCACTTAACAGCTAATGCCTATCATATAATTGTGCCATGTCTTTCTGGAAGGTACATACATGTACTTGTGTTTATAGTGTAGTTTCACTTCACTTTGTATGTCAATTTTTAGTATCCACAGATCACAGGATGAGTAGCGCTTTCAAATAAAGAACAAAGCTGTTACTGAAGTATGTGTAGTTTAGTATCAATAATTAATAATTACTGAGTTTTGCTACTAGTAAAAGCTGACGAGGTCAATTTCATGATTTATCAGCTAACGATAAGTAGCTATAGCAACCACTTCATGATTACATCAGTGGGTGTGGTTTTTAACACCTACTGTGTCGGAGTGATGTGACAATGACTGTACAAGACTTTGTTATTTTTATGTAATTTTGTGAGTTTAAAAATTTTGATTTTTACCCATTCAATTTTATAGAACTCATTTTTCTGAAAGACAATGTCTGATTACTGGTTATAATTTAGCCCAATTCCTGTGGGCATTCTTCAGTATCATTAGTAAGTTTATACCGTATAGCCAGAAAATTTGGCGGTCTAAAACTTTGGCGGTTTTGCATCAAAACTGCCTAAATATAATATTGGCGGTCATTTAATTTGGCGGTTTACTATCTTGTCTTTTCTTTAAGCACACTCAGCTCTTCTTTAGCTGCTCCTTGGCAGTCCTTGCCCACAGTCTTGACTCTGTGACTGAAATAGTGAGAAATACTGCCATTTTTTAGTATAATTAACCCGCCAATAATAATTGCAATTATTATTGGCGGTTATAATATTGGCGGTTTTATTTGGAACTGCCAATCCGCCAAATTTAATTCTCCGTCAAATTTTCCGGCTATACCGTATCATTGTTACTATGTTTAAATACTGACAATGCACTATATGACCTGTCTAATTGTGCACACTAGAATAATAAGAAAACTGTAAATTCCTGTCATAATGCATTGCGTTTATACACGCTATTGTATGCTGATGTGTCGTCTAATAAGCTCACATAGCTCCAATACATTGTTTACTGTACATGTTTTAAGTTACTGTACATGTTTAAAGTTTACTGTACATGTTTTAAGTGCCTATGCATTATACATGTAGTAAGATGCTTGTAGTCCCACTAAGACTTTGAGTTGTACACAAATCTCTTTGTTGTTTGGTTGCTACTAATGATACTAATAATAATAATAATAATAGTAATAATAATAATTACTAATAATAGTTAAATGCCCACTTTTCATGTAGAGTGTTAGCCACACTTGCCTATTATTATAAAAACTTCTTTACTGTAATGAGTTAGAGAGAGCAAAGAGAAGTGATACAGGCTAAAGAAGCAAAAAGAATTGGGCTCAGCAGTTGACCTCAAAGAAGAATAGGATTATTAGTCAAGGATAAAACCATCTTGGCAACCGAAGGCAGGTCAACTTATAGCAAATTCTAAGTTTCTTTTTTCCAAATTAGAACGAGTCAGTGGCTGGGTTAGGGCTTAGCTAGCTCAAGCAACAAACTGAAATCCTTTGAGGCAGAGCTACTGACCTCCTATAGCAACCTCAACAATACTGTATTGAGAGGCGTCAGCGACAAGACACTAATGTCAGTCTAATTTATTTTGACTGGACAAGCTTTTTATAGATAATTTATTATTATTATCATTTGTATTCTCTTCAGCTCTTAAAAATAGATAATTCATTATTAAACTTGGCCATTGTATTCCAGGGCTAGTGTTATTTTAGCTGTCATAACTGGGGCAAATTCTTGAGAGTAGTATACAGGTACACAGAATTAGCCAGATAAGCACTATACTGACAGATACAATTTAATAAGTATCTTACTTTTATAAGTTAGAGGTCCATTTTAACATCAATATTCCCATTGTCATATTTCTATCATTGATCAGTAATTGCCTTCACTGATTATTGAGTAATTTCTCATAATATCAAAATCCACACTATAAACCAGCCTCTGGGACAATGAATACATTTGCACTATGTACTACTAGTATTACGTAGTAGAGTTTATTGTACTACATTTGTTACTACTGGTTCATAGTGTTGTCTGTCATGTGAGGAATGTAATAATGGTAGGTTATATAAACATTTAGAATAATCCAGCAAGTCATCAGGTATCTCTTTCTTCTCTCTCTGTCACTGTTCAGTATTTTTCTCAGTTTATTATTAATTTTAATAGTTTGCTCTAAGACTATCTTCATTTATTATTTTCTACCTTTATCTCTCTTACTTTTTGCTCTTGTGTATTCAATACATACTTTTCCTTAAAATGACAGCCAATTTGAAACCATCTTCATCTTCTTTGGGTCTCCTCAAATTGGAAGAAGAGCTCACCTGTCCTGTATGTCTCGAACAATATGTCAAGCCTAAGACTTTACCTTGTCTACATTCATTCTGTCAGCACTGTCTGGAGGGATTACCACTGGATAAGAAGAATGAGACCTATTACTTCTCTTGTCCCACTTGTCGTCATCTTACAGAGTTACCAGAAGAAGGAGCAGGAGCCTTTCCTGTAGCATTTCACCTCAACAACCTCAAAGATGTACACAGTCTAATGAAGAAGACAGCAAATTTATCTAGTTCTCGATTAGAAATTGCCACGGCCACCTGCAGTGATCATGGAAAACCTTTGGAGTTCTTCTGTGAGACATGTGATACAGTAATCTGTTCCCACTGCTCAGTCCGTGATCACAAGCACCATGAGTGTGACCTAATCACTGACTGTTATGCTAAACACTCTCAAAAGCTAAGAGAACATTTATCACCAGTTGACAGAAAGAAGGAAGCACTCAATGAAGTCCTGTCTGCTCTAGCAGAGAGAGAGGGTGAGATCAGAGAGAGAGAAGAAGGAGTCTTAGAAGAAATACATGAAGTGGTAGAGGAAATGGTAAGTGCTCTTCATGAGTCAGAGAGAAAACTAACTGAGCAGCTAAAGAGGGTCACAAATGTTAAACTAAAGGTGCTGTCAGAGCAGGTCAAATCAGCAAAAATGAGTTTAAGTCTTCTGAAGGATGTTGGTGATTATGTGGAACAGAGTCTGAAAACAAGCAGCCCTCAAACAGTTCTGAGGTCTAAGAAACAGATGTTGGAGCATATGAGTGAAGTCACTGCAGGGATCAATGTGGAGGAGTTACATCCAAAAGAAAAGGCTGACTTTGCGTTGAGTAAAAGTATGAAATCACTGCATCGCATTGGAGATATTATTTCAGGCAATATTGGACTACAGCAGTGTCGAGTGAAGAAAATTGATCATATCACACCTTCTGGAAAAGCAGTTTCATTTTCATTATCAATAGAAGTACCAGATTTATCACTTTTGTCTGTTCCCCTCTCTTCTCTGAAGTGTAGTCTAGTACCAGTTGGTAAAGGTGATCAACCCATTAACACTACAGTCACCACCAGCACTGATCCTGGAGTGTATAGGATACAGTGTAACCCTTCAACCAGTGGTACTCATGCAATAAAAGTACACGTATATGATGTTCAACTTCAGGATACCTCAATAGTCATTCCTTTCAATCCTTACCTTGATAACATCACTCCGGAACGTACTATAACTGAGCTTAATGGGCCCTGGACAGTTGCTGTTAGTGATGACAATCATGTTATCATAACCGAGTATTATGGTCACTGTGTAACAATACTGGATAAAGAAGGGAAGAAAGTAAAATCATTAGGAGGGGAAGGAGGAAGTGGCAATGTCAAGTTTTCTTATCCTCTTGGTATAGCCATTACTCCAGACAATTTTATTCTTGTGTCTGATAGTGACAGGATCCAGAAGATAAGCATGGATGGATACCGTAAAGCATCAGTTGGTAAAAAGGGCAATAAGCAACTACAATTCCACTCTCCTTCTGGTATAGCTATTTCTGCTATAACAGGACAGGTTTATATTGCTGATAAGATTAATCATCGCATCCAAGTCTTGAATCCTGATCTAACCTTCTCTCGTTCATTCGGTAGTGAAGGATCAGCTAGTGGACAATTTCAGTATCCATGTGACATTGCTATTGATTGGCAAGGTTTAGTGTATGTTGCTGATTTTTTTAATAATCGCATTCAGAAGTTCTCTTCTTGTGGAAAGTTCATAACAGAATTTGGTGACAAAGGAGCTGGTTCTGGAAGTCTTAATGAGCCAAATGGTATAACAATAGACACTGCAGTTAGTGGCCTAGTGTATGTTAGTGAAAGGAGTAACCACTGTATCTCCGTATTTAATAATGAAGGTGTATTTATTAGTAGTTTTGGAAGGGAAGGTAGTAATGTTAATGAGTTTTATGAGCCATTGGGATTAACATTTGATAAAAATGGTTCTTTGTATGTTTGTGATCATCTTAATACACGACTTGTTGTATATTAATTTGGGACAATAGTTATTTGCTGCTATTTTAATTTTTGTAACGATAGAGTGGTTGTGAAAGACTTGAATTTTTTAAAACTTATTCATATTCATTAGTAAATGATTCGTCAAGATATTTCATAGTTCTAGTAGTTCGCGTGTAAGGTTTTTATACATGCATGGCATAATAACATCTATTTTTAAAATGTATCATATCTTATTAATTTTTTGTATTACTTTTACTGTGCATGTAATTGATTTTGTGTCTGCTGGTCTTATCAAGTTGTCTGCATTGTCTTATTATTGTAGGAATTGTTAGTAGATCTAGTCAATATTGCTGAGATGATTCCAACTTAAATTTTTGCCACAGGGGTTGCTATAGTAAAGGAATGTTGTTAACATTGCACAGTGCTGCACTGTGTACTCTATCAGTGCAATGTCTATCATAACTTCCTTTATTTTCAGAGTTCATCAGGGCTGCTATTTCATCACTCTCACTTCTTTCTCTACTGCCCTAAGCCCTGATTTGACACCTTCCTATTCTTATCATTTAGTATTGGCTTCTTTTTTTTAAAATGACAACCAAACAATCTTCATCTTCTTTTCCTGGTTTCCTCAAACTAGAGGAACAGCTCACCTGTCCTGTGTGTCTTGACCACTATACCAACCCTAAAACTTTACCTTGTCTACATTCATTCTGTCAGCACTGTCTGGAGGGATTACCTCTAGATAAGAAGAATGAGACCTATTACCTCTCTTGTCCCACTTGTCGTAACCGTACAGATTTACCAGAAGAAGGAGCAGTAGCTTTTCCTGTAGCATTTCATTTGAACAATTTGAAGGAGTTGTATAGTGCAATGAAGAAGATGCCAGCTGTATCAGATCCTCAAGAAGCCACGTGTAGTGATCATGGAAGGCCATTGGAACTATTCTGTGAATCATGTGATACATTAATCTGTATTAGTTGCTCAGTTCATAGTCACAAGCATCATGAATATGACTTAGTTACTGAAATTTATTCTAAACAGTGTCAGAAGTTAAGAGAATGTTTATCACCAGTTGAAGCAAAGAAGGAAGTACTTAAAAATTTCCTGTCTGCTCTAGCTGAGAAAGAGGGTGAGATCAGAGAGAGAGGAGAAGGAGTCCTAGAAGAAATACATAAAATGGTAGAGAAAATGATGGATGTTCTTCGTCAGTCAGAAAGGAAACTAACTGAGCAGGCAAAAAGGGTTATTGATGATAAACTAAAGGTGCTGTCAGAACAGGTCAAATCAGCAGAAGCAAGTTTGCATCTTCTAGAGGATGTTGGGGATTATGTGGAACAAAGTCTAAAGACAGGCAGTCCTCAACAAGTTTTGGGGTCTAAGAAACAGATGATGAAGCATATGAGTGAAGTTACTGCAGGGATCAATGTGGAGGGGTTACATCCAAAGGAAAAGGCCGACTTTATATTGAGTAAAAGTATTAAATCACTGCATCACATTGGAGATATTATTTCAGGCAGTGTAGCACTACAGCAGTGCAGAGTGAAGAAAATTGATCATATCACACCCACTGATACAACACGTTCATTATCAATATCAATTAAAGCACCAAATTCATCTCTTTTGTCTGTTCCCCTCTCTTCTCTAAGGTGCAGTCTAGTACCAGTTGGTAAAGGTGCTCAACCAATTCACACTACAGTCACTACCACCAGCACTGATCCTGGAGTGTATAGGATACAGTGTGACAATTCAACTCGTGGTGTTCATATGGTAAAAGTACAAGTATATGATGTTCAACTTCATAATATCTCACTAGTCATTCCTTTTAATCCTTGCCTTGATAATATCACTCCAGTGCACACTGTCACAAAGTTGAATCATCCATGGGGAGTTGCTGTTAGTGAAGATAATCATATTATAACTGAGTATTATGGTCACTGTGTAACAATACTAGATAGAGAAGGAAAGAAAGTAAAATCATTAGGAGGGGAAGGAGGAAGTGGCAAAGTTAAGTTTTCTTATCCTCTTGGTATAGCCATTACTCCAGACAATTTTATTCTTGTGTCTGATAGTGACAGGATCCAGAAGATAAGCATGGATGGTTACCATAAAGCATCAGTTGGTAAAAAGGGCAATAAGCAACTACAATTCCACTCTCCTTCTGGTATAGCTATTTCTGCTATAACAGGACAGGTTTATATTGCTGATAAGATTAATCATCGTGTCCAAGTCTTAAATCCTGATCTAACCTTCTCTCGTTCATTCGGTAGTGAAGGATCAACTACTGGACAATTTCAGTATCCATGTGACATTGCTATTGATCGGCAAGGTTTAGTGTATGTTGCTGATTTTTTTAATAATCGCATTCAGAAGTTCTCTCCTTGTGGAAAATTCATAACAGAGTTTGGTGACAAAGGAGCTGGTTCTGGAAGTCTTAATGAGCCAAATGGTATAACAATAGACACTGCAGTTAGTGGCCTAGTGTATGTTAGTGAAAGGAGTAACCACTGTATCTCCGTATTTAATAATGAAGGTGTATTTATTAGTAGTTTTGGAAGGGAAGGTAGTAATGTTAATGAGTTTTATGAGCCATTGGGATTAACATTTGATAAAAATGGTTTTTTGTATGTTTGTGATCATCTTAATACACGACTTGTTGTATATTAATTTATAATAATATTATTTGCTCCTATTTTAATATTTGTAATAATAGAGTGGTTGTGAAAGACTTAAAATTTTATAAACTTATTTATATTCGTTAGTAAAAATGACTCATTCAAATATTTTATAGTTCTAGTAGTTCATGTGTAAAGTGTTGCCGAAGTTTCTATACATGCATGGGATAATAGCATCTGAGAAAATGTATCATATCTTATTAAATTTTTCTGTATTACTTTTATTGGACATGTATTTAATTTCATATCTACTGGAATTATCAAGTAGTCTGCAATGTCTTAACTGTTATAGTAATTGTTAGTAGATCCAGTTAATGTAGAATATAGCTGATAACATTGATAATACTAGGGACAGTGACCTTGTCAAGCACCTTTAAGTATACATTGATTAATAGAAGTACAGGGACTCTAGCCCAATTTTTGAGCAACTTTAAAAATTTGTAAAAATATTAACTTTTATAAGTACATGTATAAGCATCAGAAAAATAATATAAAATTGGAGAATTCTCTCCTAGACATTTTTAGCAAAATTTTGATTGGAATTTGATCAAACTTTCTACAAAGCATAAGTACATGTATGTTTATCATTAAAAAATTATAAAAAGGAGGATTCTCTCCCATTCAATTTTGGAATAATTTGGCTCAGGACTTTGCACTATAATAGTACAGAAGCTTTGGGCTATTGTCACAGTGGTTGCTATGGTAAAGGAATGTTGTTATTATTGGTACAGTACACAGTACAATGTTTATCATAACTTCCTCTAGTCAGTAGATAAATCTAGCCACAACTGAGACTTCCGAGTTCATCAGGGCCACTAATTCATCACTTTCACTTCTCTTTCACTGCTTCCCTAAGCCCTGATTTGACTTCTTCCTATTCTTATCATTTCATATTTGCTTCTTTGTCACTTCATTCTATACAATTATTTTCTTAAAATGGCAAGCAAACCATCTTCATCTTCTCCTGGTCTCCTCAAGCTCGAGGAACAGCTCACCTGTCCTGTGTGTCTTGACCACTATACTAACCCTAAGACTTTACCTTGTCTACATTCATTCTGTCAGCACTGTCTGGAGGGATTGCCTTTGGATAAGAAGAATGAAACCTATTATGTTTCTTGTCCCACTTGTCGTAATCGTACAGATTTACCAGAACAAGGAGCAGCAGCTTTTCCTGTAGCATTTCATTTGAACAATCTGAAGGAGTTGTATAGTGCAATGAAGAAGACACCAGCTTTATCAGATCCTCAAGAAGCCACATGTAGTGATCATGGAAGGCCATTGGAACTCTTCTGTGACTCATGTGATACATTAATCTGTATTAGTTGCTCAGTTCATAGTCACAAGCATCATGAATATGACTTAGTTACTGAAATTTATTCTAAACACTGTCAAAAGTTAAGAGAATGTCTATCTCCTGTTGAAGCAAAGAAGGATGTACTCAAGAAGGTCCTGTCTGCTTTAACAGAAAAAGAGGGTGAGATCAGAGAGAGAGGAGAAGGAGTCTTAGAAGAAATACATGAAATGGTAGAGGAAATGGTGGGTGTTCTTCGGCAATCAGAGAGGAAATTGACTGAACAGGCAAGGAAGGTCATTGATGATAAACTAAATGTGCTGTCAGAGCAGGTTAAATCAGCAGAAACAAGTTTGCGTCTTCTAGAGGATGTTGGGGATTATGTGGAACAGAGTCTGAAAACAGGCAGCCCTCAACAAGTCCTGGGGTCAAAGAAACAGATGATGGAGCATATGAGTGAAGTTACTGCAGGGATCAATGTGGAAGAGTTACATCCAAAAGAAAAGGCTGACTTTGTATTGAGTAAAAATATAAAGTCACTGCATGACATTGGAGATATTATTTCAGGCAATATTGGACTACAGCAGTGTCGAGTGAAGAAAATTGATCGTATCACACCTGCTGACAGAACACGTTCATTATCAATATCAATTGAAGCACCAAATTCATCCATTTTGTCTGTTCCCCTCTCTTCTATCAGGTGTAGTCTATTTGGTAAAGGTGATCAACCCATTCACACTACAGTCACTACCACCAGCACTGATCCTGGAGTGTATAGAATACAATGTGACAATTCAACTCGTGGTGTTCATATAGTAAAAGTACAAGTATACGGTGTTCAGCTTAAGAATATCTCACTAGTCGTCCCTTTTAATCCTTGCCTTAACAACATCATTCCAGTACATACGGTCACAAAGCTCAATCATCCGTGGGGAGTTGCCATAAGTGATGATGATGTTATAATAACTGAGAATTGTGGCAACTGTGTAACAATACTAGATAGAGAAGGACAAAAGGTGAAGTCATTAGGAGGGAAGGGAAAAAATGGCAATATCAAGTTTAGTTCTCCTTCTGGTATAGCCATTACTTCAGACAAATTTGTTCTTGTGTCTGATGAAAGTCATAAAATTCAAAAGATAAGCATGGATGGAAGCCGTAAAGTATCAGTTGGTAAAAAGGGTAGTGGACCCCTACAATTCAATGTTCCTGATGGTATAGCCATTTCTCCTTTATCAGGGCAGATATTTATCGCTGATAGTAATAATCATCGTATACAAGTCTTGAATCCTGACCTAACCTTCTCTCATTTGTTTGGTAGTGAAGGATCAGCTAGTGGACAGTTTCAGCATCCACGTGACATTGCTATTGACAGCCAAGGTTTAGTGTATGTCACCGACTATGGTAATCATCGCATTCAAAAGTTCTCTCCAGATGGAAAGTGTTTGCGCTTGTTTGGTACTAAAGGATCTTTTAATGGGCAACTTCAGTATCCATTATGCATAACAATAGACACTGTAGCTACTGGTCTTGTGTATATTGGTGAATATGGCAATAATCGTATCTCTGTCTTTACTAATGAGGGTGTTTTTATTAATATTATTGGAGGGAGAGGCAGTAATATTGATCAGTTTAATTATCCTTATGGATTAACATTTGACAAGAATGGATTCTTGTATGTTTGTGATAATTGTAATAAACGACTTGTTATTTATTAGATCATTTATTATTGATTTTTGTTCAATAATTAATTTTTTCTAATGCTTCATAGCTGTCAAAAATTTGTATTATTCCCAGCAAAATCTCATTCACTGTGTTTATGATCATAGACTCTTCCTATCATAATGTTATGTTTAGTGTAATATATGTTTTGCACATGCTTCACCTTCTGCTGTCATTTAGTTAAAATAGCACTTTAAGTGTATCCATTAGCCACATGTTTAATGATTTAGCAATGCATCTATATCCTTCCTTGCTTATATGAATAGATCTACTCTTATTATATATATAGCTAACATTATATTTAAGCAGCTAATTCATATTTTTAATCACAAAAATTTATGTTAAATAATTAGGAGTTACTCATTTCTCAACATTAACTTCTGTCATTGCACAGAATAGTTCAACATTATCTTCATTATAGCCATGAATTTTGAAAATATACTTGCCCTATTATTAGAATAACAAATTTTATATTATATCATATGCTGTAGATCTATTTGTTACTTACTGGCCACAGAACTGAAGGAATTGTGTCTTTATATATTCCATGATAGATTCCAGGTTTCAATGGACAGTACTTGCCAGTTACAGAGACACTAATGTCACAGAGATTATAGTTTGCATCTTCAAAAGTAAGATTAACATAGTTCTTGAATTGATGTGTTATTTTGGCATGCATAATGCCCCATTTGATTTCCTTTTCTAATAAACAAAACATTAAAATGATATTTGTAGTAATTGTCTTTGTTACTTAAATTTATGATTCCTTTGAAGTAATATTTATGTCCTGGTTTAATTGTTTGCCCAAATATATTCGATGATACATTAGTTATGGTAAGATAATCATTAGTATTAGCTTATGTAAGAAAGAATAAATCAATAGTGTATTACTGAACTTACAACAATCTGTCAATCCTTTATTACCAAGAGGTTCTTGTTGTTGATATAGTTGTTGGTAATTGAATCAAGTATTATATCTATTAGTATATTAGTCAGTATCTTACCATTGTAGTAATTGTTGGCAGATCCAGTTAATGTAGATACTACTAGTACAAATAATAGGACTATCAATAGAAAACTCATCTTCTTTCTTTGCTGTTAGTGATGGGTAATAAAGGGATGCAGCACTCAAGTTATATTTGTTTATGATGTTATGACTGTTTAGTGTAATATATGTTTTGCACATGCTTCACCTTCTGCTGTCATTTAGTTAAAATAGCACTTTAAGTGTATCTATTAGCCACATGTTTAATGATTGAGCAATACATTTATATCCTTCCTTGCTTTAATGAATAGATCTGCTGTTATTAAAGAACTAATATTATATTTAAGCAGCTAATTTTTATTTCTAATCATATTAAATAATCATGAGTTACTCATTTCTCAACATTAAAGGGTAACTGCACCCAAAAAATTTTTTTCCTGAAATAAGTTGGTAATAAAGAAAGAATCATAGGAAAAATAGCTAAAATTATTAAAAAGTACCAATTCTGTACTAAATCTTGGGTCAAAACTTGTAATTTTTTGCCTTACAGCCATCTTGTCAAATCACTTCCGGTGGTGGGCGTGGTCACGCGATGACGTAGTGGGGGAACATTAGCAAGTTTCTGCATTGAAATATTAGCAACTTTAAGACTGGATTTCTAAGTTCTGCATGCAATAAAGCAATTTTAATGAAGTGGACCATATAGAACTAATCAAGAGCTAACTACAAGCAGTTATACTGGTAACAAAATCTATCTATTGAA